TAGTCCGCTATATTCCATGTCCTTTTGTATTATAATTGTATTATGTTGCTTTCATTTCTCTTGTGTTTTTTTGTTGTTAATTTTTGTGATTAATTTTTTTTGAGAATTGTATTTTAAATTGTATTTATCTTATATAGTGAAAGGTTTAAGCAAGACTAAAAGTTTATGTGACCTATATACTATTTAGGAAGTTCCGAGTACTACCGTAAAAGGAAAGTGGTATATTAACTTCCATAGATAATTACCATTAACATCTTATTAATGACAGATTGGATGAAAACTTATTTTTATATTTTTAGATTTCCTAAATACATATGATGAACAAATAGGTAGGCTGTTCTTAGAAGGAATACATAAATAATTACATATTTTTTTTGCTTGCCTAAAAATAGACCACGCAAATATTTACTTAACGTTAAGAAATGTGCAGTTATTAATTGTTAAAGTTTTTCCGTCGTCTTCCTAAATACTAAGGATTTGGAAATTTTACGTTAATTTTTAGATAACTTGTACTATGATTTCTTCAGTTAGATATTGTAGGAAGGAATAAAAACAGTAAATTCATAGTCATATTTCTTTTTATTTATACTTATATATTTACAAAATTTTCCGTCCTTTTCAAATCAACGTGGCACGTTGTATACTAGATCACGTAACTCGCAAGAGCACAATAACCTGCTACCCCCACGACGGGTTAACCCAAGAGCACAATAACCTGCTAACCCTACGACGGGTTAACCCAAGAGCACAATAACTTGCTACCCCCACGACGGGATAACCCTAGAGCACCATAACTCGCGAGCGTTGAGTCCGCGACAGGTTAATCTCTGAGCTATCTAAGCCACGATCTGTTACAAACCCAGCTACTTATAGTAAGACCTGTTAACAACGCAGGCATCAAGACGATAACTCTTAGAGACTCAGCCACTTAAGGCAAGATTTCTTAGAGACCCAGCCACTTAAGGCAAGAGCGGTTGTATTGCTCTTGGGTTAACCTGTCGTGGGGGTAGCATGTTATTGTGCTCTTGGGTTAACCTGTCGTGGGGTTAGCAGGTTATTGTGCACTTAGGTCAACCCGTAGTGGGGGTAGCGCTTGCAGGTTATTGTTCTTATGAATTATATTGTCGCAGGTTACAGCATACTTATGGTGGTTCATGCCGACATGCGACAGTTCAAATGTAACTCGTAAATTTTGCACTTTTAGGTTAGGAAATTTGAGATCCCTTGTGTGCTTGAATAATTTTTAGGTTGAATTCGGATTCGGCGACCCAAAAAACCTAGGAATGTATATCATTCGCTAGCCGAAGAACATTTTTCAACTTTGATACTGCTGCTATAAAATAGCTATAGTCTGTTTGGAAATGAAAGAGAGTAATAAAACCCCGAGATAAGAACCGGCCATGGGCGTGGTAATATTTCGTTTCAGGTAATTATCGGGTAACACTAATGCTAACAAAAATGACAGGGATTGGAAAATCGACTATCTACAGACTTTTAAAGGAAACAAAAAATGAACAAGATACTGTAAATCCCCCAAAATCATCTACAGGGAGGTCAAAAGTCGTTATAGATGATTTCTTCAAAAATGTCATTCGCAGAAAAGTACACTCATTTTATTTTAAAAAAGAAATACCAACGCTAAACAAAATTTTAAGTGAACTTTCAGAGGACAACGATTTGCCAAAAATCAGTAGAAGCAAATTATGGGCCGTCTTACGAGAGTTGAATTTTTGCTGGGAAAAGCAGAACAGGAAGTCAGTTCTTATCGATAAAGATGAAATTATTTGTTGGCGAAGATCCTACTTAAGATCAATTAGAAAATTCCGTGACGAAGGGAGGAATATTTATTATCTAGACGAAACTTGGGTCAACGAGGGATATACTGTAACAAAAGTATGGCAAGATAAAAATGTAAAAAGTTTTCGACAAGCATTTTTGGATGGACTTTCAACAGGGTTCAAGGCACCTTCAGGTAAAGGGCGAAGATTAATAGTGACACATATAGGTAGTGCCAGTGGTTTTGTAGATGGCGGTTTACTTTTATTTGAATCTAAAAATACAGGTGACTATCACGAAGACATGAACGCAGATGTTTTCGAAGAGTATTTTACACAGATGTTGGATCTTATTCCTCCGGGGTCTGTAATTGTCATGGATAATGCCAGTTACCATTCACGGCAGACCGAGCGGACGCCTACGACTGCTTGGAGGAAAGCCGATATAATTCAATGGTTATCCGGAAAAAACATTTCTTTTGAAACAAATATGGTGAAAAAGGAACTTTTGACACTTGTCAATCTTAATAAAGATCAGAAAAAATATGTTATCGATGAAATGGCAACAAATCGCCAAATAACGGTACTACGGTTACCACCTTATCACTGTGAACTTAACCCAATCGAATTAGTCTGGGCGCAGGTAAAAGGAGATGTAGCGCGAAATAATACGACGTTTAAATTAAGTGACGTGAAAATTTTGTTAAAAAATTCCTTGGAACGAGTAACTGCAGATAACTGGCAAAGATGTATACATCATGTACAAAAAGAAGAGGAGAAAATGTGGGAACTCGATAATTTAATTGACGTTACTGTGGAACCTATCGTTATCAATCTAGGAGACGAAGATAATTCATCAGAATATTCAGAGGATGAATTTTAATATACCTACTTTTTTATTTTCTTTATTGTACATTTATACAACACTACATTTACTCACCATAATTTGAATTTTCAAAATACATATATTTTTGTGTGGAATAAAAGTCTATTCATTAAATTTAAATAAATATTTTGATAATAATATTGAATAATTTTATTTGAATTACTAAAAACTCTCTTAACCCGGTTATGATGCTTAAAGTAGCCTCATGTTTTGAAATGTTGTTTTTATATTGTTTACTTATAAGATAAATGGACCGAGAAAAAAATTTCCCGATGTAAAACGGCGTTTTTCGCACTTTTAATCATAATGTATAATAATAATAGGATATTTTGGAAACGTGACGTGATGTCTCTTACCATGGACACAAGTTTAAACTTTCAAAAATAGTTAAAAACGAAAAATAATTATAAGTACAGAAAACGAAAACATACATTTTCGAAACGTTAACAACTTTTTAAAGTGCGCAATATAAATTGATGTGTTTTTGTATTTTGTATTGTTTTTGTAATTGTGTGCAACTGTCGGTTAGGCAAAACTATTTTCATAAAAATTCTTTTGGTAGGTACCTATATCTAAGGTATAAATAAAGAAAGATTACTGCCACAAACAAATAACTTGGGACAATATAAGTTTTTGTGATATCCTATTTCAAATTTCCGAATATTAACCTTCTGTGAAAAGTCAGCGTGATACTTTTTTATCGACTGGAAAAATAAGGCCAAAATCTGTTGAATAATTGAAGATACAACAGTTATAAAATTAATAACAGGCTGTCCGCTTGTAATTTCATTGGAAAAAGTTTACGATGTACATAGCCAGCAATTACAGAGAGAAATCTATCTATAAATAAATGAAAAGCTATTAATCATAGTGTATAGTACACGAAAGAAAATTAAATTGTTACTTCGAAAACTATCGTGCATATATTTAAGAGTAAAATGGTAATAATTTCTTTTAAGGCAGTATTTCGTTTAAATTATTAATTAATCAGCCAAAAGTAAAACGTATCAACATATGCGGATATTTTTTCCGACTATTATGGACTGGAGCATCTGTGCGTAAAGTAATAGCGTCGAAAGACGTTCGGTAAGGAAGGCGACTGCAGAAAACACTACCATTTATTCTAATGCAAAAGAAATATATATCCTCTAATATTTTTTGTTGTTAATAATATAGTTATATTATAAGTACAATTGGAGGCGTTCTGTAAGTTAATTGCAGATGCTAATTAATAATTAATATTTTTCGGGAGGCTGGAGGAGGACGAGGATGCAGTTAAGCCAGACTAACCGGAAGAGGGAATATATTTGAAAAAAACACGCGCTGTTATCACCCAGGTAACTCTCGGTAACCTATATTGATTTCCATCCACCAAATCACACTATCCTTTCTCTATTGCCAAGAAAAGGGTGTAAAAAGTATTAAAAAATAAGTCTTTTTAGACTATTTTTTGAATATATTAAATAATATTATAAAAATCATACTAGGAGTTATTTATTTTCCTCGCGCTCGTTGAAATTGAAACCTGTTTTGCCTTTATCAATTTTTGGCCCAATGAATTCTTCAAAAAATTACTGAAATTTTTTTAAACAAATTCCGGAGTCCCTCAGGGCTCCACACTGGGACCTCATTTATTTATAATTTGTATTAATGACTTTGTAATTGACCTGGACGTTCACTGTTTGGCGGCATACTTTATTGGCAAATAGAGTCTATAATCTAAAGAATCTCGACACAAAGGTCGTTGAATATTGATGAGTGTCATATTGTTTTCTATTATCGAAGGAATCATGCCCTTGAATTTGACCGTAAATTAAATGAATCAATTAACATTTGCTGAACATGTTAAGAAAGTAGTATCGTCGGCTTCCAAAATCTAGCTTTGTCTTACTAAGCTTTACAGAGCAGCATGTTTTATTTATCCTTGTTAACTCTTTTATAAAGTCGAATATGTTAGTTTAATTTTAAGATCCAGTTACATTGAGAGAACGATGTACTAACTTATTAAAATCGTTTCCAACTCTTATACCAACTACATCACCTTCAGAATGACATTAACATGGTTTTTGCACTGAAAAAGATATTAATTTTTTTTATTTATGCAATTCACATTTCTTTAGTGTTCTATTCAATATTTTTAATTTAATGGATGCTTTCAATGAGTGAATAAATAAATATACTAAACTTTATCAAAATTTAATTAAAAACAAGTTTTGCATTATCACACAAACCAAAATGTTTTCGTCATGTCACATTTCCACACCTACATTTGGGATGTAGGAATTCTCTAACTATTGCCTAAACGACCTTTAATTTATTAAGTCAGTAGCATCCGCTGACCGAATACACGTTGGGCAATCAAGCAGTGTAAATAGTCCAGTTAAAGGGCAGCAATAAAACGAACGCTTTGAGAAGTGTCTTTATCAATTTAGCTATCATTGTGGCTAAATTTATATAATAAAATGCACCTCTGCCGCCATGAGGAGGATTAACTTTAAGAGGTGTTTCCGAGCGTTTATCAGGAAGTTTTCCACAGACAGGTTTACCGAATATATTTTCAACATTACCTATAGGAACCTGTAGGGATTTTATTCCGGACCAGAGTCTATCCAGATTTGAAGGTGAGTTTAATCTTACTACCTAAATCTAAGTCTAATTGCAGATTAAAAAGTTCTGTATAAAAATGTTTGAAACATCGTTTGAAAAACTGTGTAATAACTTTTAACAGATATTTAGGTTTTGATTGTAATGAGTACACTAAGGTGTAAGTCCTAAACCGAAACATTAGTTCCTATTTAATTTTTCTTTTAGTGTTTCTTATTAATATTAAACATTTTTGAAGATAATTCCATTAAATTTCGTGCATTTTAGATAACCAATGGTACCATTACTATTCGAAATAATATATGATATGATAGTTTTTTCGGATTATAGTCCCTTTGAACTTCTTTTTACGACGACATTGACTCTTATTTTGAAAGAAAAATGGTCGATGGAGATTATTTGCAAAATGTATCTTTATTTTCCAAAGTTATATTCGGTATTTCATTGCTACGGCGCCATGTAAAATTTCTAAAAGTAAATACCGCCATTTAGAAACATGGCGGTATAAACATCAGCGAATATATTAAAAATATCAGCTTTTTTACTCGTACGTTGTCAACTCGTACAAGCTTTGCCGCCTAATGTTTATTTCCCTAGAAGAAATTTTAGTAGTAGGTGTCTGACACATATATTCTATTTTTTTCGTGGGCTAATAGATCGAGGTATAGTTTAAATACCATGATGCTTCCTGTCGCTTTTCGATGGCTTAAGATAGTTTTGAAGCAACAACTGTGACCAAAAGTGGATTTGCAGTAGTGAACTAAGCCCGTGATCAATCAGCAGATCTAAATCCCCTAAATTTTGTGTTCTCCTGTCACTTACAAATATTTGTTTCATACCACATTCAAATATTAGAACAACACTTATTTAAACAATTTCATAACAAATGTATTTGGTAATAGAAAACTTTTTTCTTACTTGACCTAAGGTATAATCTTAATTTCCTCAGTCTGTTTATAACTCTCTGAATTAAATGAGATGAAATTTCAACTAGTGAATACTCTACACAGACATATCAGCCAGTTGCCAAGCTGCTAGAAAGTAGTACTATTAAGAACCTCATAATTGTTATATATTGAGTAATTAGCACTAACGAGATCATTACAGAAAAATTTTAAATGACTATAACTTTCTTGTCTTGAAGACATGGAAAAGTAAAAGATGATTTATTTTACTAGTTTTTATGACGCATTCATTCCATTAATATAAAAAAAAACTTTAGGCATCGAATTCCAGAGAAATACAGGGTGTCATTAGCATAGCCTTTGTAAGTTTCATATGGATTTTCTAATTTATGTCAAATTTGACATCCGGAGGTAAAAGAGCATAGTCGATGAGAGTAGCTACATTGTTGTCAAACTGGCACGTTTTCAGGTATATAAACGTTTTTAATACTTTTATTTAATATTTGATTTTGTACGCGGAGTGCAAATGGCTCCATCTATCGTGCTGACTTCCTAACTGCGTCATTCAAATGGCTACTAACAGTAGGAAGCGACCTGCTAAAATTTGCCGGGTACTTTGTTGCACGACTGTCGCCAACAGGGCGAAAACAAAATGTTTTTAAATTGCCAGTGTTGCGAGAAACAACTACTCCGCGGGCAGTAGTAACTCCGCTATGCCCCGACTATTTGCGCTCAGCGTACAATGCACCTCTTTGTCCTGAGTATACGATACTATTATAACAGCTGGATCGTTCGTCGGTTGACTCACCTATGACACAATGATAATAACTAATAAGGACTAATAAGTCCGAAACCGGTCTGTGCCTGGTGGGTTAAACTGACGAACGATCCTAGCTGTTGCATTAGGTGTTGCGGAGTAGTTGTTTCTCGCAACACTGGCAATATAAAAACATTTTGATATAGTCTGTAATAGTAAGGAAAATATATCCAAGACTGTGCCGTAAGCCCAATGTATCATTCAAATTTTCCGGTAAATAGTACGTCCCTTTGGCCATATATCCCTTAGTATTAGAGATCCATTAAATCTTGCCATATGCCCTATGTGTTATACAAAGACTTGATTTCCTGGCAAATAGTAATAGACTGTTTCTGACGTATTAAGATCATAGAACATTCCTTTAGCTACTTGTCCCTTACTATTAAAGATCTATTAAATCTTATATCATTGTAATAGTAAGAAACAGCTCTATTCAAATAATATGGTGTTCCATTAAAAAAATAAAGTTTCGCAGAAATGACAATCAGGCATCAATGCAAATTTAATATCAGTCAGATAATCCGTTTTAAAGTTACAGAGGGTCGTGTCATAAAAAAATACCATGTAAATACTCTTGCTCTTTTTTCGTGGAACACTCATTATATACAGGGTGTCCCGGTACTTGATAACATTTAATATATGCAGTGTTTGTGTGCGTTCCTTGAAAAGAGAGCACAAAAGTGAGCAACGTTTATTAAGCAACTGATGGTCTAAATGCTTCTCAATTCCAGAAAATTAATTAAGAAAATTAACCATAATATAATCCAACCCTATGCATCTTGTGCACGTGCATGGCCAGAATGCTTCGGACTTGCTACATGAGAGAAGCGCTTCTCTAATTGGTGGACGTTTCACGTGACGTCCACAATCCAGCAAATCTGATCGTAGGTCAGTACATCTTGTGTTATTTAGTTGTGTCTTGCAGTATTACTTAGCCGGCGTATAAACTATTTTCTGATAAAGAACTAGCAGATATGGTATTAATTTAAATAAGACTTGTCGTTTGTATGCGGTCCGTTACCGTAACAGACGACAACTTAACAGTAGAACAGTGCAAAAGGCAGATCAAAAGTTACGGGATATTGGGAATGTCCACCTGACATATGAAAGTCGTGAACGGGAAAGGCCGCAACATGTTTTTGACAACGAAGAAAACATAATAAACCTCGTTGAGGAAGATCCGAGGCGCAGTACTCGCAACATTGACCGAGAAGTGGATGACGAGAACAAATATTACACCTCTATCATGTACAAAAGGTTCAGACATTAAATAACAATGATTTTCAGCCCTGTGTGGAATTTTGCCAGAGGTTTCGACATCAAATAGCACAAGATCCGGATTTTACAAGCAAGGTGCTTTTTACGGATGAATATTTCTTTACTTAATAAAAGTTGCTCATTTTCGTGCCCCCTATCACGCTTTTCAAGACATGTACTCAATAACACTCTGTAAGGCACTAAGTACTGTTTAAAGATGTTTGTAAAATTTAAATTATTTGTTTAAACACATTTGACTTTGTAGTTGACATATAGCTTTGTGTGGGCAGAAATCCTACACAGACAAACTTCTTTAGATATGATATAACACACGTTCTTAAAGTAAATATTCGGATTAAAAAAAATAGCTAGACACAGTACATCTTCAGTAATTATGTTCCCACAATAGATCCTAAATAATATAACTAGTACGACCATTCTTCATTGTAATTGCGGAAACAAAATTAGACGTGGAATTACAAAATCCATAAAATTGTAACTTTATATTTTATCTGGTTTTATTCAACAATCATAATTTTAAAAATCGTTACTCACAATATATCCTCGTTCTTTTACATTTTTCTTCTCCATTAAATATACGTAATTCACAGAAATTTAAACATCTATTACTTGTTTAATTTATAATGCATAAGGTAATTGCCCCTATAGGAATTTTACGTACAGAAGAAATATTGGGCCTAAATACCTTATTATTACAGTTTTTCCAAGCTCACGTCATCAAATGTACTTATCCATTATAAATGGAGTTACTGAAACTATTACGATAAATGTTCCATTCGATTCCACATGCCTACATTGGAAAATGTATTTTCTTACAATACAATTTAAACATACATAAAAAATAATTTTATGCGGTCCACTTCGGTGTTTTTGTTAATTTTAATAAATTAGAAGCTAATTTTAATGTTTTGTCAATTATTACATTGAAATTAAACTTAATGACCGATTTTAACATTTCTCATTTATTTATCATAATGGTGCTAATAGACTATAAGAAATTAGGGTGAATAAATCACATATAGTTTACAGAAGTAATTATGATAATGTTTTATAAAAAAAATGAGAAATGTACAAGTTGTACGTTGTGATTAATTTTCCTAGTGTTGCCTCCTTAAGAAAATAATCAATATAAAATGATGTTATCCATAGGCGGACGACAGTAAAAAGAATCAAGTTGATATAAAATTTAGTTATATGTATTTGTTGTTTCAAATCAAATGAATTCCCTACAAAAGAATGTCTTAATAAACGTAATGAAGTTTAGTTCCTCAGATGTAACCTTATGTACAGATTTTTAATGAAGGTATAAAAATACATTTATTACTAAGAAGAAATATCTCTCAAAACGATGGATGATACTGTTTAAAAAAATTTGAAGTACCTATTTGCTGTTAGATTTTCTTTATAAATGGTCATTTTCATTGACAAATGTCAACAGTAAAAGCATTTGTGTAGGTATAGTTCTGTAATATGAACATTCGTATATGCATTTTTTACATCTTTTAATGTACCTTTAATAAGGAAACATTTTCAGTAGGTAGGTACATCTAGAGTCTAGAGCCACAATCAAACGGAAATTGTTTAACCAAATAAGTCTTTTTTCAATCAGTTAACAGCCAAATCAATTAGGTTTTTTTATTCACATTTTAGACGTATTTTACAATTTCCAGTTTTTGAATTAATAAACCGATCAAAAAATTAGCCCAGTTATATTGTTAGGTGCATTTTAAATACATAAAAAGTTTCTGTAATTTTATTTCTAATGATTTGAATGCTGTTATTAAAAATGTTATTAACTTTGTCCTTTAAAAATGCCCACAAAAATGTATTCGAGGGTGTTAAATCATGACTGTTTGGTGACCATGGAATGGGTTCATTTTTACCGATCCTGCTTGCAGCTTTTATATTTTTATTATTTTTTACATAAAGAAAAAATATTTCAAACTTTTCAGATTCTGTGTAACCCATTTTAATTAAATAATAATACGGACTCACCAAATCCCATATGATTATGCTCGACAGGAAACGTTCTATCCAAGTATGTAAAAATATACAGGGTGTTCCATTTAAACTAACAAGGTTAACATCCGCGGCCATTTTGTTTGGACATAATTTGTTTTTCTACTATTATTTTCGAAAACATCATAAAAAATCGTGCAACGTTTGTATGTCACATTTTTTATAACTCAAAAAACAAAAAGAGGTATTGGGGAGGGGTCAAAATATAGTGAATCACCCTGTACATAGGCCACGGCATGCTTATTTATTATTATTATAATTACTATTATTATTATTGTATAGTATGGTAATAAGTTAGATATAAGGTTATTATGGTTTGTGATTTGCTGTTGTCATGTTCGATTTTTATTCTAATAGTTGGTTGAACTAAATTTTGCTAACAAATTTACTTATTCATTTAAAATTTAAAAGGTTGCCTCAAATATAGCAAATCGTGATAATTTCTTGAACAATTCGAAGTAATAAATTGATAAATATAAAACTCGTTTTATAGGGTACAATGGGGGACAATAACATACCAATGATGTCCACGTTGGATGTTGGTGATAAAGTAGTTACTGGAATTGGCGTCGAAGATGTTGGAGCAGCAATGCAACGATTCGGCTGGCCAGACTATATCATGTTTGTGGGAATGTTACTGATTTGTATTAGCATAGGACTATACTATGCTTTTTCTTACAAGTCACATAATGCTCAGGAATACTTGGTGGGTGGTCGGAATATGAAAGTAGTACCAGTTGCCCTTTCCCTTGTAGCTAGGTCAGTAATTTATATACCACGTTTTAGTTTCAAAAAAAGAGGTCAAACTAGGGGTCATTTGGAGGTCAACTCCAGAATTTCAAATATAAACCCCACTTGTTTTATCCAGAAATGGAAAGAGTTCAGATTTCCGACTGAAATGTTTATATTTTATGGCAAAAGTTGATTAATTTTTTTGACAAATTCTATACAAATTACCATGGCCATGATTTATGGTCTAATTGTGATTTTGACTTTGAACCCTGGGGTCAAATTTAGGGGTCATTTAAGCTGATTCGAACTTCAGAAGACCCCTAGGGGTTAATCTGATCCAAAATCACATATACATCTCTGAACGTAGAATTTCTTGCTTTTCACATTTCTTGATAAAACAAATGGGGTTTCCATTTGAAATTCTGAAGTTGACCTCCAAATTTCATATTTATCAATTCCATTTCAATTACGTTTTAAAATATTGGCACCTGTTTCTTTTCTAATATCGATAGTCTTCTTTCCAATTTAGTAGCATTTAATTTGATCAATAATTGTAATGTTTTTTTAAATAATTTGTTATATTATTTATATTTATAATTCCTTCGCAAACTTTTTAAATATAAGGGCACATTATTTAATTTTAAAGTCTGGGTAGTATTTTACATGAGAAGATAAAGTAGTTCAATAATTTTAATTTAAAATTTAAAAGAAATAGTGACGAGAGATATAGTTTCCGAATGTAAAAGGACAATCATAATGTTACTGAACTTACGCGAACTATTTTCATTGTATTTCTATCCAAGACATTATATCTATAAAAACTAGAAATACATACAACCCGTTCGATATTTGTTGAGATATAATTCCAAGAAAACCATTATCTCAATTTCTTGGAATTAATAGCATTCGACAATCGACATCCGTGGTAGAAAGATATTGGTGGCGTGGGGTTCACCGTAGCAGCTTGCAGTGCATACTGTGTTTTGCAGTTACGAAGGCGTGTTTCTTTGTTTATTCCTTTCTTTGCACCAGCTTGTTTATAATTGTAAACACATTTTAATCCAAAAAATCTATTTTATATATATTCACCTTACACATATTTTAATATTCTGAACATAATGCGGAAAATTTCAAGGCACGCCCCTGCTGTAAATTGTTACAGTAGTTCGGATAACAGAACTTTATTGGCGTATTCTTTTCTTGGAATTCTATCTCAGCAAATATTGTACGGACTGTATCTAAACCTACAAGCTTATTTTACAGTCGATGGAATAAAAGAAATGTATTATTTACGCTAGATACAAAAGGAAACATTTTATGTTTATAGTTTAATTGATAAAAACTAAATTTTTCTAAATTTTATTTTTTTTCAGTTTTATAAGCGGAATATCCCTGCTAGGAATTCCAACAGAAATTTACGTTTATGGAATACAATATATGTATATAATGGGGGGATTTTTGCTAATGACTTTTGCCATGGGATCGATCTATCTGCCCGTTTTTCAAGGGCTTAAATTAACATCAACATATGAGGTTAGTAGAAACATATGAGTGATGTACGTATATTTCAATATTTCCCTTTATCTGAAAACTATGCTATTCTTGAAAATAACATTTTAACCTGAGACATTAGTTTGTCTCAAATTTGAGTTACGTATATGACATCCCTTTTATTGTAGGAGTTAGACATATGCAAAAAAGTGTCAATTTTAAATTTGTTCTCAAATCGTCTTTAATCGTATTTATTCTATATATTTCGAAAAAATGAATCTAGTAATGTCGTGTTCCCAATAAAAAATTTCTGATACAGTTTTTAAAAAAATGGCATTTCAAATAATTGTAAAAGGCTTAGGGTTTGCAATTCTCAATAAACCAGTTTCCGAATGCGTGTATACATAGATTTATTAAAAAAAATAAAAATTGAACTTCATTTCTTTTCGAATCTTGTAAGTTAACAGTACGTATAAATCGGGACTCCCTGTATAATTGCATCTCTATATGCTCTATTTGGGATAGAAATCTGAAACAAAAAAGTTCTCGTCATACTAATAAATAAAGCAATTAAATTGATTTTAGTATCACGAAAGAAGATTTGATCGAAAAGTTAGATTGTTTGGATCATTGCTGTTTACATTTGGAATAATCTCTTGGTTGCCACTAGTGATATATGTCCCAGCTTTGGCTTTTAATCAAGGTAAATCTTCGGCATTATGTATTTTCGTAAACATTTGAGGGAATAAGCTAATATAAATTTGTACATAATTTTCAGTCACTGGAGTGAATGTTCACCTTATCACACCAATAGTTTGTGTGATATGTATGTTCTACACTTCAATGGTAAGACAGAGATCCTTTTTAGTAATAATTAAATACAGTAAAAATAATCGTTAATGTGTACAATAGGAGAATAACAGAGGCATACAGAAACAAAAAAATGGTTTATTTCATGGACGCATAAGATGGACTTATTATATATTTTGTATGTAAAGGTATATAAAGAATTAATCAACCTTTCGGTGAACACCTGAAAACCACCTCCTAAAAAATAAAAATCAAGTCACAAACTCAAATCATGAATTTACAGAGAGGAAGATCCACGAACTCCCTCTATCTCTTTTTTAGTTTAAGACTTGAATCAGCCAATTATAAAATTTTAGCCGATTTTTTTAATTTGACAGTTGATTAGAACTTTGAGTACACAAAATGTGCAATGAGTGTCACGAATGTGATACAGGATACGTTTTTAGGGTTTTGCCCAAGCAGACACCTACCAAATGTGGATCAGTTGATTTTTTCATTTTATTTTGTAGTTCTGAGGGGCGGCAAAGGTTGATTTAGTGTGTGCCCAAAAAGAAACCTTTTGTATGCAAAATTTTGGCTGCATTTAAGATTTAGAGGTAGTTTTTCATGAATTAAAAAAAGGTTAGGTTGTTGAGGCAAAAATACATAGAATGGCTAGAATGAAAGAGCCTCATCCGTAGAACAGCCCACTTTTTCGTTATTGTGTGTGTATAATACTGTACTGTGTGTACTGTGTAATAATCACCAAACAAATTTTTAATTTATTGGATATCGTTCACGTTTTAATATTTTCTTTTAAGTTTAAATTTTAATTATTGTCGTTACTGCAGAATAATACTTTTATATCGAAAGTAGAAGTATTCAGGACTAACAACTATGGAAGATAACGATTTCGTTAAAAATATTTTAGGGTGGATTAAAAGGAGTTGTGTGGACAGATGTAATTCAAATAGTGATTATGTTCGGGGCAATGATTTTGGTGGCCGTAAAGGGCACACTTGATATTGGTGGCTTTAAAACTGTATTTCAAAGGAATTGGGAAAGTGGACGTATAGAAGGTCCTAAGTAAGTGACTATAAGGAATCATATATACAGGGCGTAAATAAGTAAGTGTGAAAACATTAAGATGATTTCTTGTTGAACAAGAAAAGTTATCCTTCTTGTAAAAAAGTCTCGCCATTCCCCTTCCTACGGAATTATGGCCCTTCAAACGCAGAGAGAAAAATTTAGTTGTATTTTTTCCGTAAAAATACTTAAGAGAAAGTTACAAAAATGAAATTAAGTTTGCTTTTCTTATTATTGGAAAGGATTTAGTGGATAATTTCTTGATTCCCGTTTTTCCGCCAATTTTTTAGAAAAACCGATAAATATTGCATTAGAAGGACAGGACACATGCGCACTCCTTCCCAAAGAGGTATTTTCCGTACTTCTTGGAGATGTATGCAGTGGCGGCCCGTGGGTTTGAATACAGGGGGGCGCATTTTGAAAACAGGACGTACATCATAAAAGCTGCGGGGGTGCTCAGCGCCGCATGCGAAAAATTTTAAGGAATTTGAAGGTCATTGTGTTTTGCAAGTACCCCAAAATGAATACTGTCAGTGTGTACAGTAGCTACTTACAATTAGATACAATGCGGGAAATAAAATTCCAACGTGTGGGGGCTGAAGTGGATAATCGATCAACCAACCCAGTTAGGATATAATTATGTAGATTACTGTAATAGTTCATTCTGTATAGTTTTTGAAGTTCCTTTAAAAACATGGGCATCGCTAAGATGTTTATCTAAAACGGGATCAATTTTTGCACTATAGTCTATCAGTTCTAAAAATACCCCTTTGTTTACCGAGTCACTTTTTTTATTATGTCCACGAAGAGGAAGGTTACATGTACCACATAGTTTTAAGATATTTATAATTTTTGAAAAAAGCAATCGATTTTTCTTAACTGTTTCGTTACGACTATTTACTATTTAAACTACACTATTTAAACAAGAGGTAATATTTACTCTTCCTAAAAGTAAAAAACTCACCAACTTATTTTTGTGTTTAGGAGAATTTTCATGTTTCTTAATTTTAATTTCTAAATGTTTCAAGTCAGAAACTCCAGTTTTCGTCCAGTTTTCTTCGCCTCCTCCAAACAATAATCATACGAAACAAAAAAATCTATTTGTTTGGGCACAACCACACAACCACAAGGTCTTATCATAAATGTTTTTATCAAATTTGCGAAAGTCGGCCCACTTTTGCACTGTTTCTGCACCTGAACTAAATTCAACACTGGCGTTGGACGTCCGTTATTTTTCAGTTCGACTTTTTCCTCTAAACTTAAATTACTAATAACAAGTGTTTTAATTTCACAAACCCTCATTTTAAACTTAAACTTATAAAATATAATGTCTTAAAAAGCGCCAAAGCAAAAACAAAACACGTATATCCACACTTCGGTGATACGGGTTACTGCCTCATGGAGTCCCAAAACAACGCCCGCGAGCCTATCGTCGCCTATCCCTTTCACGTGCCAATTAGTCCAATCATATGTAAAACTATGCTTGCACGATGGACTCAGATTTCACGGTCCGCGATGGAGTGGGGATTGCGCGCGCGGTCAAACATAACTCTTTGATACGATCATAGATGGCAGATCGCATTAATCTGAGCTACGTTCACGGAGTACATGCACTTTATGCAACCAACCTAACATCCAAGAGATATTGAATGCATGCTATTTAGATTTCTTATTGATTTAAATAAATACATTATTTTAAGTTCATAGTTTGAAAATATCTTGGGGGGAGGGGGGGGGCGGAGTCCCAGAGTCCTCCTTCACGAGCCGCCACCTGGATGTCTACGTGATAAAATTTTACTTTTATTTACGTAAGATGGGTTCCCTGCCTATTTTAGTGTAAGAGCATGATAATATCTAATATTTAAATCTGGTGAGCCTAATGAAGAAGACACCTACGTTAAGACATGAAATGATTCATGTGCGGTAATTCAGAATTCTCCAGAAATCCGGTTGATGAAGGCTTTATTCAATTTATTTTCATTCAGGTCTTCCACGGAGCAAAATTCTCTGCTTATTTTATTATTTTGCTGAGAAACTATTGTATTTACGAAATCAACTTTGAAATCAAGCTATCTAAAACAGATTTTTAAATGGTCATAATGGCGATAGGAAATTTTCTAGTAGATGCTGTTTCGACAGTAAGAAAGGTATAACTAATTTCGTTTTTTCTCCATGTTTAAGGAAAAAAATATTAAAAAATTAAATTTTTCTGTCTCTGAAGGGCCATACATCCACGGGGAGATATTTTTTTAGCACATAAAAGTCCCCTATCTTAATTTTCAAAGAAGAATCATCTTGATATTTTCAAGCCTCTTTATTTGCACTCCATATAATTAAAACGCCTTTTTAATTAAATTTTTAAAAATGTTTAGCATTAGAACAAGAGAAAGTTAAAAACATTCTCAGTGCACAATAAATTATATTGCGTGTTTCTTTACCCTTATAAGAGATATCTAATTTATTGTTCGCTGAGCTGAAGTTACTCGACAAACTATTTTTGTTTCTCTTTTATCTAAAGCCAGAATATGCTTTTTGAATAATTATATAAACTGAGGTAAATGATGATTAAAAATAAAAGCTTTTAGTTTTGATTTAGATCCGCTTTCAAGGCATACGATTTGGTCTTTGGTTCTTGGGGGTAGCGTGTATTGTTTGCAAACAGCATCTGTAAATCAAAATATGATTCAGCGGTATTTAGCTCTACCTTCGCTACAATCAGCAAAAAGGTATGGTACGATATTTTAATTTAGCGAAATGATCTATTTCTTTAGAAATCTATATTAAAAGGAATTAAATAGTTCACATTTTAAAATAATTTAGATTTTTACGGACAGCATGCGGTAGTCTTAAAATATCTAAAGTATGGAAAATATAATTATAGTGTTACTCACAGTAACTGTAAATACATTCAAAGATAGAACGTGAAAAATGTTGCAAATATGAAAACATTATTATGAAGATTTCATTCAAACGGAATCCGTAGATTGACGTACTTTTAAGCAGAAGATTCCAAAATATTTCTAAAATTGGTTAACTATTTTAACAATGGAACTGGAATTCTATATATATTCTATATTTTTTCCCTGGGCTCCTGTAACTTATAAACTGATAATAATAATTGGACGCGCGTTTATAAGGCAAATTTGTAACATTTGAGATCTTTCTCTAATCTTTTTGGGCCTTCTGTGAATCACCCTGTTTTCTAGAGGTATAGATTTCTCATTCATTTTACGTAAAATTAATAGAATGCCAGCACATTTATAGATTTCAGTTTTGATTATTTAATTTTTATGCAGTTATCGAATTACTCCTTGACACGAATACATTTTTTATCTTTTGCAGCCTTGGCGACTTAGTAAATTGCATTTTAAAGTAATTTTCTAGTATCTTATTAGCGAAACAATAAAAAACGTCTGTTTAACTTCCCTTGAAGCTGTTCAATAATTGCTACCAGAAAAGTTATTTAAATTTACAGCTATTTTGACGTGTTACAGGGCTCTTTGGGTGTTTTTCATCGGCGTGTTGTTGATACTTTGCCTGTGTTCTTATTGTGGAATGCTCATTTACGCTACTTTCTACAAATGTGATCCACTTACAACAATGGTAAGGCAACATAAAAATCAAAAAATATTTTTTATGAAGAATTTTAGCTTGCTAGGGAAAAGCACCAGCTTCTACCGCTACTAGTTATGGATATCCTTGGAGATGTGCCTGGACTTCCGGGGGTAATCGTAGCCGGAATATTCAGTGCCGCTTTGAGGTGATTATTTCTATTTTATTGGTATCGATACAACTTTATAAAGCGTTAGTGTACAAAAATAATTAGCTAATAAAAATCTATTTGCGTGCAAGAATTTCAAAAAATTTAACCCGTGATCTCAAATAAGCTAAAATGAAGTATCTATTAAAGTTGCTTAATTTAACTGCTAATGGTGTCATATTAAAATTTTTCTTGTTTTTTTTTTAATAACAGATTTGGTACAACTTTTTGACATAGTGATCTAAGGAAATAATATGTTAATATTTTTTACGAGTGACCTTATACCTACAATTTTTATTTAATTATAGAGGTATAGACTTTTTTCGAGTGTTGTACATTTGTTTGTATTTCTAACAGTTTTCGCGTAATAATTTATTTTATTAGTGATCACCTACGCATTTTCGACAAAAAGTGTGATTTATTTGGTAATAAGAAGAAAATAAGTTCGGAATTTTACAATCGAATGATTTGTCGTATTCCAAGTCTCGTCTGAATTTTGAATTTCATCCAACTTTCGAATTTGACCTATAGGCCAATAAATAGAGCAAAAAATGTCATGTCTTGACAAAAATACTTACAGTATACCACCTGTGACATCTTTTAAAAGACAGTCCATAGATATACTCTGATGTGTTTTCTACTCGCAACTCTCATTGATTAACTTGTTATTAACATTTTAGTACGAAAAACGCGTTTTTTTTTTAGTTTTTTCTTATAAAACCAAAACAATTAGGGCAATCTCAATTTCGTAAATGGAAAAGTTGTAGGAAATTAAATTTCGAAGAGAATGAGAGGTCGAGTGATTCAATCGGTTGATAAGAACCGGAGAAAATCCAGAGGAACCGAAAAATTCATTACCTTGTCATTTATGAAGATTAAGAGCTGTTTGGCTCAGAGTAGATATCAACTTTAAGTGTGTAAAAGGCAGGAGCTGTCGGACCGTTAGTTTTTGCGTAATTACAATTTCAAAAATTTTTATGCATTTTCTTGCCGGGAGTCTGCTTGCGTTAAAAATGGTCCGATTGTAATTCTAATACAGGTTTTCAAAGTAAAATACTATAAAACGTATATTTCAAGTTTTCGTTAAAATGCAGCGAAAAGGATGAACCATGTACTTGAACATCGGTGTAAATAGCAGTTATGAATTTTTGAAAAAAATGCCGAATTTTCCGGTTTTTCCGGATTTTCTCCGGTTCTAATCAACCGATCGAATCGTTCGACCTCTTATTTTCTTTGAAATTTAATTTTCTACAACTTATCCAATTACGGAATTGAGATTGCTCTAGCAGTTTTGGTTTTATAAGCAAAAAATTAAAAAAACGCGTTTTTTTGCACTAAAATGTTAATAACATATTAATTAATGAGAGTTGCGAGTCGAAAATACATCAGAGTATATCTACGGACTGTCTTTTAAATGATGACACAGGTGGTATGCTGTTAGTATTTTAGTCACACAAAAAACCTATAGTGACTGGCCTACTACAAAACCCTTACGTAGTTGTCGATACTTGAGGGTACCTAATCAACCATCCTAAATTGAAATTTACATCCACGTTTCGAATTAAATCGTTGCCGTCGGAACGGTTTACAGAGTAGCCAATACCCCCAGTAAACGACATCAGGAGAACTGTTAGCAAAGCGAGCGCTGACAACATTCGAGGAACGCCTAAAATTTCACTGTAGTTTTGAATTTTTCGGTGAAAAAGCTAATCATGCTACGAAATTTGAGTTGAGACACGACACCGAGTTGCCTTGCATAAATTTAGACTGACAACTATATTCCACGATGGGAAAGTCAACAGCCATGAATCGCCCGAATCGGGAGAGGACAGATGTCAGAATCCAAATCGAACAGCAATTCCCGAGAATCGGCGAACCGTCCGGAAATGTGGTCGAACGTCCACTCAGGAACTTTGTAGTTCAATAACCAAAGCAGAAGTTTCTGCCCAGTGTTGCCTTTCGATACCGTGAAACCGTTTCCGCTTATTTAGAAGGAAGTAAGTCCAAAGGCTGTACAGTTTTTCCGAAGTCAGTTGAACATGTATAAAAACGCCAAGCAATAAAATTTAATGAGTGCGTCCCTAAAAAAGTTTTCCGCTAAAGGTAAAAAATTATAATAATTTGTATATTATAATGTGTAGAAAATTTCTATTATATGTTCATTTGGTATAATCTTATTAGGTATATGGATGGTAAATTTCGTTTAGTCCGTTTCAAAACGTTCTTAAAATACCATGTTGTAATAGTATTAGTAAACAAAATATCCCTCTTATTTCTCCCCTTCGCAATTGTAATATTAATCATTAATGGAAGGTTCCTATAATAAATTAAAATTACTTGAATCATACCAAATTCCGCATTGATGCACTGCACTGCTAGGCCATTTGTTCACAACTGAATCTATGACCAGGTCGCCCAGTGCGGCTGTGTTTGTGCCGCGTTTGCCCGCGTACTCATTCTTCAACTGTGCGACCAGATTTGTATGGCTAAATGAATATGGTAAAACTTCTTCAAATATTTTAATACCAAGTTGTTGCGTCAGCGACCGAATCTGGTACATCTTGCCAACCTCTTGGTTCTTCAATTGACATCGGAAAGACGATACTGAGGATTCCACCCCATAGGTCCAAAAACCTGAAAATACAAAAATAGGTTTTTCTGATTCGTTGATCAAATTTCAACTTTAACTACATAGTTCCACTATATATAGTGAGAGCGATATGTCTCCCGAAATGTCAACCTAAACCGACGATGTGGCAAGCAACCCGGAAATTGTTCTTCCCAGCTATGTTTATATAATATTAAATTTAAAATAATGGTTTATTTATTTCTTAACAATTCCTGTTTGCTTTAAGTGTGGTAGTTAAAAATTGTGTTTTCTTATTTGCAAAATGTGATTATTTTTCCTTTTTGACTAAACCCCGTATTTAAGCATTTGTTGAGTTCAGAACAATTTTGTTAAATACAGTTTTTAACGAAAACAAAAATTAAAGGCACTTTGCTTAGGGAACTCATTTTGAACTTTTTTGGATGCCTTCTATGTTTTATTACATATCATGGCTTCCCAAGATAAACAAAACTTATTCAAGAATAACATTTTCTCGAAAAATCAACAATAAAAAAGTTTACAAAAGAGCAGTACCCCATCCGGGGACACACTGTATAATGCGTTACTTTAATATAAAAATATATTTCAAACATTTACAATAATGAATAAACTTTATCAATTCAGAACTTTGTTAAAACTTTGTTGCTCGCGAGACCTAGATCAGCGATCTAGCGTACAATCGACTCAGGTATGTGGCAAAGATCCTAAGGGATAAAGCTGAGCTTAAAAATCAGTGCCAAAAGGGCTTAAAGGCAGTGATATCGACAAAAACTAGCCAAAGTGCAAAGGGTGCTCATAAATTCTAAGTATATAGTACACACTTTATAGAACGAGAAATATTTGAGATGAGTGCAATATTTTTCACTGAATTATGTCGTTAAAAAAAATCATTTATGTTTCTGAATTCCGGAATTATTTTATTATTATTATCAAATAAATCAACTTCAAATTTTCTGTGACAACTTTATTTTAAAAATAATACAAATCTTTATCAAGAATTACTTTTTTCCATAAAATGAGAAATAAATATTTCGACTCTGATATACTTATACAAGGAAATTTAGCCACGGTAAATCATATTTGTGACTTAATTCTACGTTTTAATAGTTGCTTTTTCATTAGTACTATTATTTGAATAGGATTTAATCTGAAAGTAGATTTAAATAAACTTGTTTAATCATAATTTAGAGAAAAAGTTAGAAACAATTTTCATTATCTTAACACTTTTATCGTAAAGTAAGAGAAAATTATCATCATAACAGTGATAAGAATCTCTAGTAATATATTCTGTTACTTATAATACAAAAAAAAAAAATATTAAAATATTTTTTCGGGTTAATAATTCAGGTGCTTAATAAATAGCCCGGAAAACCATGTTATTAACGATAAGGGCCGTAAAAACTATAAAACCACTATGTTCTATTATTTGTTAGTTTGTTAAGCTCTGATCCTAAAGCAATATGGTTAGTAAAATGACTCAGCACAATAATAGATTTGAAGTTGATGTGTAATATTTTCATATAAAATAGTTATAGGTTCAAAATTGGAATCTACTAACCGATCTAATTAAATTATTTAAATTGCTACAATAAATAAATAATTTTTAACATTAAATATTATTCTAAGTGCCGATTAATAAGAATTCATTAGATTATAGGCCTTTGTAAGTGAAGATTATACAAAGGTCCTTCTATGCCAATGTTTTATTAACATTCTTGTTTCAACGTTAACTTAATAACTTAATATCGAACGTTGCCATTTATAGGAATCGAAGAAAACAGGTATGGCTATATTAAAGTTTAATATTTTACATATTAAATCGACACCATCTTTAAAGAGATATTTAATAATTTAAATGAGAAAAACATGGCGTGTTTCATTTAGTCCCCAATTCTGTTTTGACCTCCCGAAAGAACGGGAACGTCATTAATAAATTAGTATTAGAGAATGCGACTTAATAATATAAATCCGTGAATATAATACATCACACCGATAGTTCTTAATTATTCATGTGCTAAGACAACGAGTAGCTGTTCTTACTTTATTTATTATTTAGGCATGAGTTTCGTTTAATTGATATTTTGTTCTCAGCTCGTTATCAACAGGCCTTAATGCAATGTCTGCGGTAGTCCTGGAGGATTTCTACAAACCTTTCTTTCACAAACAATTAACTGAAAAACAGACTTATATAATGATGAAGTTAACTGTTATTATCATGGGAATCTTCGGCGTAGGAATGGTGTTTGTAGTCGAAAAATTAGGAGTTGTTTTACAGGTAGTACAGGATATTAGTGACTATTAATCATGTTATATGACAAAATATTTTATTTAGGTAAACATGACATACTTTTCTTTCTAAGTTACACATGCGATATCAGAATTTTCATTAATATGGTACCAACCAATAGCTCTATGTCTCAAAAATTGGAACGGGAGTACATTTTTTGGTCAATAATTTAAAATACTACCAAAGGTGTAGATTTTAATCTTGGCGTAGTGTAAATCCCAGACAGTTACCTACTTGTCGAAATTAACTGGAGCTTATAAATGTTAAAAATGTTTTGACTTTAAAGGGAAACTAAAGTTCAGTCAATTCCAATCAAAACTTTTGTAACCAGCGGGGTTTTCTCTTTATCCATCGTTACAGTATCGTAACGACATCAACTGCGAAAGGAAGCTCATCCATCGATTATCATTTACACTTTCAGACACGTTCAGGCAATGAATTTCAGGCACTGACCGTTCTTTTGCTCACATAGCGTTTAATCCATGGGTTGGTCGTACAGGGTGTTATACTCTCACTCAACGGGTCGCTTAATACAAGACACACCAGCACTACTTTAAGAAGGTGTTTAATAAAAATGTATAAAATTGAACAAACAACACAACTATAGCACAACGAATTCAAATAAACAATATCAATTACTATTTTGCAACCGGCAACGTGATGCAATTCAATCAAGATATTAACTATTAATGAATTAACCCCGAGACTCTAAAGTTAATAGACGGGACTGTGTGGAAACCCAAGGAGAACTGCCTTTACGGGGATCTCACTGTATTTCGACACTTTTACTTCAACTCCGCTCATTTTGGGTTTGGGAGTCTTGTTATCTTATTTGCCAATTCAAACCTTTAAGGGCAAAAATGCCGCCTCCTTCCTTATGCCTAGGTACTTGCTATCTTGTCGGTTCGACTCCTCTCATATTAAGAATTATGCAACGAAAGTGAATTTACATATAACTCTATTTTTACCTCGCCGTACGCCTCTGAAGGAGGGAAGCCTTCGTTGACCTAAATCTCTTTTTTTTTGAGATAGAAATGACTTCGGAAAAGTTCTCATAATTTCGGCGTTAATTGCCTTAAATCATTATGAAAAAGTATGGCGATGTTTTGGACTTTCTTCGTAAATTCCGTTCTACTTTCACGGGTCTGCCTGAGAGGCCCGTGATGAACAAATATCGATTTTTGCCTTCTTTTTGTCCCGAAAAGATGCTTACCAGAACGCGATAACGTTTTTTGAGTTAACTTGTTCAAAATCCTTTCGAATTTTATGGTTTACTTGTTCTGATTACCAAGTTTTATAAAATTATTACTTTTGATGACAAAAGTTTTGCAGGAACAACCTTCTTAATGATTTTATCTAGCGACTCTAAAATCCACTTGAAACACCTTATCTGTCAGTACTTGTTACTTAGATGAGGCTAATATTTGTTAAATTATTATTGGGTTCCAAATCGTTCCGAAAACTGACCAATAAATTATAACGTGTTTTGGCTTTTGTTACACTGTTATGAATGAGTTTTTTTTTGTAGAATACACCGATATGGTTAAAAGTACAAAAGTCATGACAATGTTAAGTACATGTTTAATAAATTAGTATAACTTGATTTCGTATTTAAGATGGACAAAAGGAAGACTCAACTATATCATTGAGAAATTAGATTAAAATAATTGGTTTCTACGTATGGTCCACTGCTACTGATGGACTTCCATTGTCTCAGTTTTTGGACATTTACTTGTGAACAATCTTCGAAAAAAGTTTTAAATATCTAAAAGTTTAGAGTGGAAATAGTCTATGGATATAGAAAAATATTCTCTTTGTTGTCAAATATCTTTTCTTCTGAAAGTCATTGAACCGTTTCTAATTTAGACGCCAATATAAATTTTTTATACAAATTTTATATGAAAGTAGTTACTACGTGCCAAATTTGAAGTTCGTATCTTTTACGTTTCTTAAATTATTATTATTGGCCAAAAACTGTGCTTTACGTCCAATAATCGTAGAGACCTTAGGAAATAAAAAAAAATGTGCAAACAGACATATATTCATTAAGGAGTCTCTAGAAGCAAATAATAATAGGAAAGAGGTCAATTTTGAAATGCCACTATAATTACTGCAAAACCGGCATTCCTGTTTACATGTTAAAAGAACAAATAGTATAGTTGGAAATATTAATTTTCAAATGTAGTTACCAGTTCGAACAGTTCATATTTAGGGATTTTGCAATCTAATTAAACTTTTTTTTAATATTTTTTTAGGATAGGATTTTTTAGGATTTATTCTTATTAAAAAGCCAACACCTCCTAAAATATAGCTTTATGAATTTAGTTTTGTGGTACTACTTTCACAGGGCTACTTTTTAATAGTGGCAAGTTGATATATATTAGAAAACATATTCAATTTGGTTATAAATTTGGCAAAAAGAAATTTATTTACTTGAAATCCATTTATCTCAGTAACCATGCATTTTAAAGACATGTGACAAGTATATTTTTTTACAATAAATGAAGTGGTATTTTAGAAAACAACTGCATTTTCTTAAATTCTCTACCAATAAAAAAAAATATGAAAATATAGACCTATTTTTTGAATTAATTACTTTGTTTTGGTTTAAGAAGCTTTGCATAAAATTTTTACACCAAATTATGAATGCAGAACATTATACAAATATTCAATTATCTAGCAACTCTTTTTACCATATCTTAGTCATTTATAGAGATAGAATCAAACATTATATCATTGTAATTCTAAGGAAGCGCACTGTATCTGAATATATAGCGCATTTAATGTAAGAGAAAGCCATGTCTTATTACTGCAGATACTTAGATAACGCTCTATTCAAATACATAAAAATTTATAGTGTATTAAAAAATTTAAACAGTAGAGGAAAAGCCCAAACGCTTTTGTATACATTTTTTCTAATTTTTATAATAAACCCTCTATTTAACTATCACAGTATAAATATAATCTGTATAATTATAACACGAATCATTCATTTTTACAGATTTAATGAAGTTCAATTAAATCGAAGTAGAATGGTACAGCTTGACTAAACTTATCTTACCGTAAAACCGGCCGTAAAATAATTATTGCTAAAAAATGTATCAAAAGCAAATAACATTTCTAATTACAGAAAACAATAGTCCAAAGGGTTCGTTTCTATACAAAGCTTTTGTTGAATATACTATAAATAACTTTTGTTGATCCAATAGATTTTATATGTTCTACCAATTCGTGCAGAAAATAACAGTTATTACTTCTTTTAAATATTGTTTCCTAGTTTTCTCATTTCTATCTGAAATTATTGTTATTAAACAATTATCTATGAGGTATATTGATTATGAATATTATGTTAATTTTTTAATTTCTATGTTATTATTGTTTTGCTTTATATTTCAGCTTTCTATGAGTATTGATGCCATTGCTAGTGGGCCCGCTTTGGGAATGTTTACAATGGGGATTCTTCTTCCTTGGGTCAATTCAAAGGTCAGTAGATACATATTTGTTCCTTTGTTTTTGTAAACATGGAGATAATTGTTATGTGAACAGTCTATTAAAGATACAGAGTTAAATTTGAACATTCTTTATTATGCTTTCATAGTATTATTATATAGGGTGTAACATATTAAAATGAAAAAAAGTTTTCCTGGTCAAAATTAATTTTATATAAACACTTATGGTTGAAGCCTTTGCTTTTGAGGTACAAAATATTGGAGTTTAAAAGAAGCTAAATACCTTCTGAATATATGAAGATAAAGAAACGAAATTTTGGGTTCACAATGCATGAATAAAATTACATACAATATAAAGAAATTAAGTCTCACAATCAGCTCAAATCAGCGGTGTAGATTTATTAATTTGTACTAAAATAGCAAAAACGCCAAGAGATCATTTTCGATCATAATAATTTGCATTTTAAAAGTGGTAAAAAGAAAATATTGTGTTTTTAAGTGGCGTACCATAATTTGTAAAAAAAATGTAAACATCGTACCTAATGTTGGCGCTACTTGTTTGATTACAAATTTAGTTTTCTTCAGGTTGGAAATTGTTCCACGGATGTATTATAATTGTGTCCATAAAATTTCGTTTCAGTATCTTAATTTATTAGGAGGACGCCTTCTGAAAACCAATATCCTGCATCTAAGAAAAAGAGCATCGAAGCAGATATTGATATAAGAAAATATTTTTAAATTGGTACAGGGGTCTCCTTCATTTTTGACATGTTGTAGTGTTACATTGTGTACAGTAAAACATTCGGTCAAAGCTGAAGAAAAGTATTACACGATTTCAACTTTTTCAGTAAAGGAGAACACCAAGTTAATAATTTAAACTGTAATTTGGGGTTTCCCTTAAAACGTACAAATGAGAAATACGGAAATATGGTTTGAAACCTTCATCATGAATAATAACTAGACATGTTCTAGAATTGTTTTACCCTGTGTAAGAGTTCCACGAACTTTCTAACAGAAAACTTCAATTTAACAATAACGAAATGGTCTACAAGTGAAAATTTATTATATTCCGCTTTCCTCATTTTGTATAAAGAAAATAATGAAAGTGTTGAAGTCTTTCTTAATTTTATACATGAGATACAGTTTGTTCGAATTGAAAATTTGTCGAATATTGTTAAATTTCGAATACTAATATTAATCTCATGTATTCAATACTTACGCATACCTACTAACATGAACAACACAAAATTTTTTACAAACTTTTATTTAACTTCACATGTACCTATGTTTAGATCAAATGTTGCAAGCTAAATTTGAACCACTTTTCGTTAACTTACCCCTTAAAATAAAAAATCCAATTAGGAATAAACCTCGCGAAAAGCTTTCAAATCGTATAGGAACATGAACATATTGATTATTATAGATGGTACGTTTCTACAGGGTGTTAGTAAATAAGTGCGACAAATTTCAGGGGGTGATTCTACATGAGAAAATAATGGCAGTTTGCTTATAAACGTATGTCCGCAAATGATTCGTTTTCCGAGATACAGGGTGTCAAAGTTTTTCTTAAAAACTCTTATTTTTTGCTTTGAAACCGGTCGAGATGTGCAAATGAAATTTGGTGGGTTTTAAGAGGTAGTTATTGCGCATTTTTTGACACGCAATTAAGAATTTTATGTTCACCATTGGCGCGCGTACGGGTAATAATATCAATTTTTTTAAAGAAAAAAATGGTACGCCACTGAGATATTACAAATTAAATCATCATCATCATCATCATTTTTGAATTCCTCGTTCAATTTGTGACAAAAAATCTCTCTTGCCTTTTCTTCGTATGGGGCGCCGTTTTGATGCAAAAAAATAAAACCTCTTAACGCGTATTTTTTATTCCTTTAATACATTATCAAGAACTATCTAATACAATAACATTAAACCAGAACAATGACAGAAAATAACACTAATAAAATTTTGAAAAGGCGCAAAGCTACAACAAATGTTCAAAATGACCTCCCTCAGCCGACTATAATTCGATTCCTCATGTCATCAACATTTTCAACGGAAGTGGAATAAACTAATGACTTAAGAAAACCCCAAATGAAAAAATCAAGAGGATTTAAATCTGGCGATCGAGCAGGCCAATGTTCCGCACCTCCCCTACCTATCCAACGATTTGGATATACTGTGTCTAAGTGATTACGTACATTAATGCTAAAATGGGTTGGTGCACCATCATGCATGTACCATAGGTGTTGTCTCAGCTGTAGAGGAATTTCTTCAAGAAGAACAGGTAACTCTTCCTGTAGGAATTAATATAAGATTCGCCTGTTAGTCGTTGCGGGAGGAAATATGGACCTGATCATCAATTACCCCAAGCCATACATTTACGAAAAACTGATGCTGAAAATGAGCTTCAAAAATTCCATGGGGGTTTTCCTCAGCCCATAAGTGATTGTTATGGAAATTTCGTATACACTGTCGTCCAAAAGTAGCCTCGTTAGTAAACAAAACTCCATTTAAAAAATTAGGAATTTGAGCGATTTGATGATTAATCCATTGGCAAAAAAATAGGCGCGGAAAAAAGTCTCTAGGTAGTAAAGCTTGCACACGTTCAATATGAAATGGATACAATTGCTGTTCTTTAAGAATTTTAAATACAGTGAAGTTGCTTACATTCAATTCAATCAAAATTTTTCGAGTACTTGTTTCAGGTGACTCCGCAATTAACTCGAGAACTGCTTCTTCTAGTTGCACAGTTCGTAATTCTCGAGGGCGCCCACAGTCAACCGTTTGTTTCTTAAATGAACAATTTTCGCACAAACGTTGATGAAGACGAGCAAATATTGCGTGATGAGGTACCCTAAGTCCTGGATACAACTCAGCATACAATCGTCGAGCTTGCCGACCATTTCCATTACTTCGACTATAGACAAAATGCATGTCTGACAATTCCGCATTTGTAAAATTTTCCATTCTTTTCGATAAAAGAAAAATTAATTACTTATTAACACTAATGTTATAGCATACTAAAAGCTTAATAAATTAATAATGACGAAACGCTAATTTGACATTTCTTAAAAATATTCGTATTTAACAGACAAATGTTGACAGTAGCCTACTAGGTAATGTATTAAAGAAATAAAAAATTCGCGTTAAGATGTTTTATTTTTTTGCATCAAAACGGCGCCCTATACGAAGAAAAGGCAAGAGAGATTTTTGGTCACAAATTGAACGAGGAATTCAAAAATGATTTTTAATTTGTAATATCTCATTGGCGAACCATTTTTTTCGTTAAAAAAATTGAGATTATTACCCGTACGTGTGCCAATGTTGAACATAAAATTCTTAATTGCGTGTCAAAAAATGCGCAATAACTACCTCTTAAACCCACCAAATTTCATTTGCACATCTCGACCGGTTTCAGAGCAATAAATTAGATCGTCAATTTTTAAGAAAAACTTTGACACCCCGTATCTCGGAAAACGAATAATTTGCGGACATACGTTTATTAGCAAACTGCCATTATTTTCTCATGTAGAATCAACCCCTGAAATTTGTCGCACTTATTTACTAACACCCTGTATTTATCATACTTTTGCTGATGACACTTTTATAAAGCAGCCATATTCAACTCTTTTGTGGATCTGAGGTTTACACAACATTATGGGTTTTATGAACCCCTTATTTATTTTTTTCTTTTTAGTACGTTTTAAAAAAAGCTTGTTTTCAAAATATTTTTTACTTTTCATTTCTTTCTACAAAACACATTAAAAGTAAAAATGTAAATTTCGATGATAAAACCTTATATAAAACGATAAAATTTCAGTATACAATAAACAGTGTTTTGTTGGTATTAATAGTGACGTGATTAGTCAAAAGTTAATCGAAACAACATTAGATTAGTTACAAGGCAATGAATTAAATAATCGATACAAAATGTTCATTCAGGGAAAGTACACGGTGAAATATCATTGAAACATAACAGTAATTTAAAATTTTCACTCAAATGATGATACTCATTTTATGTTTGCCTATTTTCCCACTAATCATGTATATATTTTCGGAGTATATCGTTCGATATTCAATTCAAAGTAATATCTAGATAGTTCAATGTAGATATTAATTTTGTTTTACAAAATAATTTCATATAGACACTATTGATTTAATAGAAACAGTTTTTCTAAATAAAAGAGGTTTCTAGCTTCAATACAATATAAAATATATTTGAAAATTAAATTATAAAGGATTTAAGATATGCAAATATTACTCAAAATTATGAAAAGTGTTTTTTGTTTAGTATATTTCTCATAACAATGCAATTTATTGATTTATAGGTCATATTTTGTCTCTTCCAGAAGTTTTAAAAAATAATAATTCCAAGGATTTCTCATGACCTATTTTTACACAAGGTTGCTTTAATTAGATTAACAACTGGGTCAAGATTAATTGAAAAGTATCAACTCTGACTCCTTTCGAAGATATAAGCACATTTTAAAAGTCCTGATGGTGTGTTTTTAAATTAATATCTTCTAATCTACGTTGTTGAGTACCTACTTGTGTTTTGGTACTTTGGTGTTTTTGGCTAAATATGACCCATATTTACATGATCAGAAAAAACAGGACAAATCAAGAAAAGTGAGGAAAAATTTACGTATTAAATTCCTAAAAGTTTGACCTTTTTTTTTGTCACTCGGAATAGTTTTGATCATGGTGATCATGGAAGGGAGAAAGTAATTAAAAAAAATTTCTTTATTATTATTTACTTATTCCTCATATTATTCATATTGATAAATTTTCAAGGTTTGTTGTGAGCCTATATAACAATGTAATCAAATGCCAGATACATGTACCAAACTTGGCACTGATACCTCAAATGATTTGCAGTATTAACAAAAAAATTATCAAAAGAACATCTTCAATTTGGTAAGGGATCAAAACTGTTATGATTCTAACTCTCATCTAATTTACCTGATACACATCCTAACATGAACATTAAATCGCTTCCAAATATTTTTTTAAATTAAATTTTTCATTTTCAAGATTTGTATAAACATGTCAGCAAATGCCAGAAACATGTACCAAACTTGGCACTGTTACCTCAAATGGTTTGGAGTATTAAAAAAATATGTTATCAAAAGAACATCTTCAATTTGGTACGATGATTCGTAAGGGATCAGAATTGTTATGATTCTGACCCTCATCAAATTTACCTGATACACATCCTAACATGAACATTAAATCGCTTCCAAATATTTTTTTAAATTAATTTTTTCACATTATAGGGAGCCTTAACTGGTGGCATAACATCTTTAATATTCATGTCCTGGCTTTGTCTTCGAGCACAAACTCTTATTGCTTCAGGAGACCTGACTTTTCCCGAGAAGCCAGTTTCCACTGAAGGGTGTCATTACCATTTTACGCCAAAGCAATCCCCCAGCAGTAACATTCATTTCGACCCATCTGTAAACATCACGAATGTGACTCATACGGAGTAAGTATTTTTATTTCTCTGAAGCAAAACAGTAATATTTATTTATTTGTGTATTGCGAAAAAAATGATGATGGGATGTTTCATGTCAAGCGGATCACCGACCTGGACAAAAATTGCGTGGAACGATCGAGACGTGTAAAGGCTTAAAATGTTCGTCTAGTAAAAAGCTTTCACACGCAGAGCGGTACTTTTCAAAAATCCAAAATGGGGGACCCAATATGGCGGCCGGAAGCTGGAGAAAGCCTGAGTGTACGGCAAAAAAGGGTTGTGAAAAAAGAAATTCGCAACCATTCGGGTCCTTTTTTAGTTCAAATTGTAGCTGAGATACACCTATTTAAAGTTGGTATGGTTAGATGAAAAAATCCAAAATGGCGGATCCAACAGGGCGGTCAAAAAACCCATTTGGTAACTGAATTTTAAAAAATTTATCGATTTACACCAAACTTGGTATACGGGGGTCTTTGAGGTCGCTGATTACGAATTCGAGTTCAGATTTCCAAAACTCAAGATGGCGGATTCATGATGGCGGACGAAATTTCGGAAAATCAACCGATTTCCACCAAATCTGGTATATGGGGGTTTTCGGAGGTCTTTAAAAAATGACAAATCCAGTATGGCGGATAAAATCTTTCGCCATATTGAATCCGTCATCTTAAATTTTACAAATCCAACCTAAGATACATGATGAGCGACCCCAAAAATCCGCATATACCAAATTTGGTGGTAATCGTTCGATTTTCTGAAATTTTTTCCGCAATCATGGATCCGCCATCTTGAATTTTGCAAATCTGACCTCAGATTCGTAATCAGAGACCTCAAAAACTCCTGTATACCAAGTTTGGTGTAAATCGGTTGATTTTTAAAAATTCAGTTACCAAATCGGTTTTTTGACCGCCATGTTGGATCCGCCATTTTGAATTTTTTCATGCAACCACAACATCTTTTAAGAGGTGTCCCTCCGCTACAATTTGAGCTAAAAAATGACCTGATTAGTTGCGAATTTTTTTCACAACCCTTTTTTGCGTACACTCGGGTTTTCTCCAGTTTCCGGCCGCCATATTGGGTCCGCCATTTTGGATTTTTGAAAAGTACCACTCTGCGTTTGAAAGTCTCCTACTAGACGAACATTTTGAGCCCATACGCGTCTCGTTCTTTCCACGCAATTTTTGTCCAGGTCGGTGATCCGCTTGACGTGAAACATCCCTGATATAAACTTTGAAAGAGAAGGATCAATAGTTATTTTTATGGAAATAGTTTAGCCTAACCAAAAAATTTCACACTGAAAACGACAGACAAATAAAAAATACACAAGCTGACGTTTCGAAAGTCGAAACCTATTTTAATTTTCAGAGCCGATAATGAGGTTTCATTTTAAAATTAGTTTTAGTTAATAAAATTGATGCTTTTGGCGCAAGGTGGCTTCAAACAATACCTTAATAGTTTCGTAAGAAAATAAAAATTAATACGAACCTGGCACATATTTTTGCACTCCATGGACAAAAAATACTTTTTTAGTCCATAATTTCGTTTAAGTGAAGCTAATCCACAACTTTTCATTCACAGGTGCCGACGTAGAGGCAGTTTAATAAGCATAGATATTTCGTACACTCCACTATCGCCTTGACGCTGTTATTTTCCATCCACAACTCGTACGTGGACTTCATGTGTTGTATATGTAATTTAATTTATTTTTTACAACCCATTAGAAATATAAAATTTTAACAGAATGTTAGCCCAACTAAGTAAAACACCCCCATATTGTAGTCATCCAATGCCTGCCCTCGGAACACCCTTAAAAATTAATATTATTGCGGAAATAGAAAAATTTAAAAAATTTACCACTGCGACCCCAATTAGTGTGTTGATAAAATTTTGACAGCATATCAGTAAAACCATGTAAATCATCCCCATATAGTAGTCATCCATTGCCTATCCTCGGAACATCCTTCAAAACTGACATAATTGCAGAAACATAGAACAAAATTTAAAAAAATTACCACTGCGAACTTGGTTAGAGTGTGTTGATAAAATTTTAACAGAACATTAGTGAAACCATGTAAATCATTCAAATATAGCAGTCATCCATTGCCTGCCCTCGGAACACCCTTAAAAATTGATATAATTGCAGACACATAGAGAAAACTTTGCGACCCTAGTTAGAGTTGTTGAAAAATTTTTTACAGACTATTAGTAAAGCCAAGGTGATAGTGGAGTGTACTAAATATCTATTCTTATTAAACTGCCTCTACGTCGGCACCTGTGGATGAAAAGTTGTGGATAACTTCACTTAAACCCCATATTTTTATAGGAGATAATTTCTTGGCCCACATAATCAATTCTCATGATGAAAAACTTTTGAACATAATTTGCGAAGTAAATTAGTGGTAGTCTCAGATCTCGAAAAGCGTTGAACGGGTAGATATGTACAAACTATTCTTTTTTTTTCTCATAACCAACTGATAAACACAAATAGGTATTCTGTTATATCTCAAAAAATGTTTATATATTTCGCAAATTTCGTTCGAATTTGTTTTGTTAAAAAATTGTTAAAACATAGTATGGATTTCATGTTTCTTTATTAAAAGATGGCAATTTTAATTTTCACTAGCACTGTACTAATACAATTAGATTAAACGTAGTTTTAACCCCATTATTAAATAACAAAAATAATGGTACATGTACTAGGGAAATTCAAATAATTACCATGGTAATCTAATAGCTTTTTAACCAGTGATACGAGGTTTGGTCAAATAGTAACGAAAATTGCGCGTGTTGTATCTTGTCTATCGAGTCGATTCTTTTTTCGTGTATTGGTAGCACTGTCAGTGACGTACCTGTCATTTTTAGGTAGATACCACGTTAAGTTTGTGTTTAGTGACCGAATGAGTAAGACTTACCTTAGTGCCTTTGGCGATTTTTTGTGTGTCAAATCAGAGAGTTTAACTGATATTTTGTGTTTATTTTGGGTCTTAGGGAGAATATGCACTTTAATATCTTGGTATTAACGACTCCTTGACTAGTCCTTTTGGAACAAGGGTTTATTTAATTACTTTTAAATTTTTTGTTAATGTAAAATTTGCAAATAATTACATTTTACAATAGATTATAAAAATAAATAAATAAACCTCAAAATTATTACAAAATTGAATTGAATTGCTATTTAATAAAACAACAAATAACATTAATAAATTTCCAGTCATTACCGGATAAATAAATTTTTAACTTTTCTTACATTTAAATTTACCGAATTTTTATGTAGTTCACTTATTATTTCTTAGAATTACACATGACAAATACCCAATTACTAAACTGTGAGAAATGAAAAAAGTACTGTATTGTTCAACAAACCATAACAAAAGAATTTGCTGTGCGTGATTCATAATATGTATTTACTACTCTGATTCACGCGGTTTATAGTATATAGGGGAGAGTTGGGTTATACATATAGGCCACATTTGAGAAAGTGTGAATAATTAAGAAAATAAACTTTTTACTTTTTTTCGTATTTATAATAAATAATATGCTTTATGGAATTTAAAACAATGAGAACTTTCCTATATCTTTACCGTCAAAAAGTACATTTATTTTCTCATCTTCTATAAAATGTAGGATGATACCGGACATACATTGGTTCATCTGGTAACTACCGCATTCGTAATAAAGATCTATTTCCGTTCCCGGGCAACCTTCACGTGCTCAGTTGTGACAATATTGACAGCACTACATTCAAATCTTATCTACAAATTATGGCTTTCAAAGTTTTTTCCTATTTTCCATGTTTCTTCCATTTTCTGTCTACACTCCTTAGAAAAAATTAAATTCATCCTATCCAAACATAATATTTTTGTCCCTCATAAATCTTTTAACCAATAAAGAAAAATTTGATTCCTGTTTTAAAAAATTCACATGTGTATACATACTCTATTCCGTGTAATAATTGCAATATTCAATATATAAAACATATTGCTCTACAGCTCTTAATAACGTATGAAAGATAAAAGAACATTCTTTCAATTTTGATCAAATTGATATTCTAGTTAAAAAAACAAATTACAACAAAAGACTAATTGAAAAAATAAGAAATGATTCATATTACAAAAAACAAAAATAGTGTCAAGGACAAAACTGATATTAAAAATGTAGGTGAAATACAGGTATATCATAATTTAATCAAATAAATGCATATATGTCTAGAATTTTTAATAAATTAATCCGTATACAGTTTTCTTGTTTGACACATCATTTTTAAATTTGTAATTTGTTTATCCCCGATTGTTTTCCGAGAAATATCCGAGATGGCTCTTGTATTTTAATTCTGCAAAATTCTTACAATCTAATTTAATATCGTTTTATTCTCACCCCGACATCAGTATGCCTACACCTGCTAGTGAGTTTATCAAAATTTAAATAAAAACAAAATTTAAAATGAAAAAAAAATTTCCAACTATGATTTTTAGATAATCAGTTATTTTGTGTTTATTTACTTATTATGCTATATAGTTATTATTTTGGGTGTATACACAAAAATATTTGCTGAAAATTGTTTTTTGTTTTATAATATTAATGTAATGTATGATAATATTTAAAATATTAAGTAGTGTTTAATGTTTCAGATTTTTTTTTTAATTTAACAAACTGCCTCTACAAAAAAAATAATTCTTGTTTCTATTATGTAAAAAATTTATATAACTTTTTTATTTGCAATTCTTTATGTTAATTAAAAAGTTATTATAAAAAATGAATTTAAGAAAATAAGTTAAAAATTATGTGATTTCGTTAATCTTGAATTATCGAAAAGGTGCCATAGATGCTTGGGCCAAAATTGTAATAAGTAGAATTTTTCTGACATTATTTGTATATCAATATCCTGTTTACCTTACAAAAAAAAAACTTCTTTTCATGTATTATTAATAAAATTATTATTTTATTCTCAAAAATTATATGAGGCATGTTTTGGCCAATACTAAAGAAACTATGCAAAAAATACATACTGTTGAAAAAACCAGTGATGGAGTATTACTGAAAAATATGTGAAAATCACTTCCCACATGCATGTCCCTGGTTACTGGATGCACTTTGTGCAGACAATGATACATTTAAGATAGAAAAATAATCTCGTTCATGAAATATAATGGGTTGGGGAATAAGTGACGCCCGTTTTTTTCCAAATTTAAAAATTCACATGAAAATTAACCGCATTGTCACACATGTCATTTGAAAGAGGAATTATTGTTTTATCAGACTGTGCTATTTGGTTGCTTGGTTAGATTTAATTTTTGTGAATTTTCGTTCATATGGAATGAAATATCAAGTTGATAAAATTGATCATTTTCGGCACCTGCTTCTTTTTGTTTCTAGTAGAGACGATGAAAACGCTAAAGCCGCTCAAGCTGCTCGAAAGATGGAATGTGATCACAAAACAGTACTAAATCACCTTTACTCGATGGGAAAAGTTAAAAATTCTGCGCTTGGGTTCCACACGTTTTGAACGAAAAGAATAAGCATCAACTCTCCACAATTGCCACTGGTTTCCTCTGTCGTCATCTATCAACACGTGGTCATAAGGAACGTTTTCTTCATTGTATTGTCACTGGTGATGAAAATTATGTCTGTACGTGAACTTGAAATAGCGGAAAACCCAAAAAAACAAGCAACTCCGCGAATAAGACCAGAACTTCATCCTCGAAAGACAATGTTATGTCCTGTTGGGATTAGAAAGGAATTCTTGATTACAAACTCTTACCAAACAATCACACTGTCAATGCAGAACTCTATGTTCAACATCTACGGCATCTCCACGCGACTATTTAACGAAAAAATCTGATCGGCGATACGACATTCTTTTGTGACATGACAATGCACGACCACATATCGCCAATATTACTAAAACATCCATTCGGGAGTTGAATTGGGAAGTTCTGCCCCACCCGCTTCCTTTTCCCGATCTCCTGATTTTCACCTCTACCGCTTTTTGTCATTATTTGTTATTTTAGAATTACCTAATTAATCTCTTCCTTTAATATTTTAGATTATTTTTGAAATTCTTTCTAAAAAATATATAATTTTACTGATGAATTTTAAAATTTATTAATAATTTAATTTAATCTTTTTTATTTCAGTGAGAGGTATATGATATACAGGCTGTCCTATTTATGGTATACACTGATAGGAACTTTCGTTACTATGTTTGTTGGACTACTGGTTACCTTCATTACTAGGCCACTAGATCCCCGTGATGTCGACCCCCAACTGTTGGCACCCTTTATTAGAAAGTTGATAAAACCACGACTACCAAAGGACGACTTTTACACATATGGACAGCTGCAAACTAACGTAAGACATTTTATGCAATGCACACATACCTAAATGCAATATTTTCTCTTATTTATTTTCATATATTCTTATGTGATAAACTGAAAAACTTGAGATTTAAGTCAAAAGTTTCCAGTAAAATATAGTTTTAAAATATTTTTGAATTATTATTTTTATTTTTTTTACTTAATTTTTCATATTTTTAGGGAATATCAGCAAAAGACTCTGAGACGGAAATATCAATGGAGAAATATAATGGGTCAGAGATTGATACGGATCCACTTGATAAGGCGATTAGTAATTAATTAAGATACTACTGATATTACCTACTATTAATTATACAAATATGTAATGTAAATGTTTACAATTAATACAAATATAGTTTTAACTTTAATGATAATTTTATTAGTCTTCACCAATGAATTATTACTCGAAAAGTACATATTTTTTAAAATTACATCTCGTAATCCGATCAAAATGTAGTAGATGATAAAATGATAACTGCAAAAGTATAAAACCAGAAACTTTATTATTAAAATATTTAAACTTTAATATAAATTAATACTGCTTATGCGGTTCATTTTTGTTGTTTAACTGAAATTTTTAATAAACATGCTCTTTTCTTCTTCATTTATTTGAGTATTTTGCCACCTGTGGAAAAGAAATATTAATAATAATGCAGAAATAAATAATTGCAGACAATATATTTGTCATACATTCTACATTAAGAATATCCATCTTAAATGTTATTTTTCTTTGTTTAGACTATAAAGAAATTTAAATTATTATACTTTTGAGAATTGCAATTAAGTTAGAAACTCATAAAAATTACAAGTAGTTGACAAATACATTAACAACGTAATAAGGAAATATCCAGTACTATATTTAGAACTTTGTTTGAAAATAACTTTGATTCGGCACGCTATGTATGATAAAGAAATCCCCGTTCTTTATCTCGCGGTTTATGCTTTGTATAGAACCCAACGACTCTTACAATCTTATCCAGTCTTTTGATTATAAACGTAAAATGTAAAATACCAAACAGGGACACAGTAAAGTACTGTGTTTAATAGTATAAAAGACATTACTTGTAAGGGAATAATCAGTCTCAATTTGACGCTTAGAAGTGTAACTCACTAATACATTACTAGTGTTAGAAAGGTACGTGAAAAATATATTTATTCTCATATGTACGCACTTATAAATAGATAGGATATTTTGTACAATACATTTTTCTTTTTTTTCAGATGATTACTAAGATATCATTAATATTATTTGCCGCTCTTTTGGTGTCTGGACTAGAAGGAGAGGAGAGATGGAGAAGATCCCTCCAACCTGGTGCACCCAATGTTAACAATAAGGATCAACCCTGGCAACTCGACCCTCATATCTCTCGTGACAAGCAAGGAAATACAAAAACTGACGTCAACATCCAACATCACGGTGACAATCACGATTTTGAGGGAGGTTGGTCTAAAGTTGTTAGAGGCCCCAATAAAGCGAAACCTACCTGGCACGTAGGAGGTACGTACAGATGGAGAAGATCCTTACAACCTGGCGCACCCAATGTCAACAATAAGGATCAACCTTGGCAACTCGATCCTCATATCTCCCGTGACAAGCAAGGAAATACCAGAACTGACATCAACATCCAACGTCACGGTGACAATCATGACTTTGAGGGAGGTTGGTCTAAAGTTGTTAGAGGTCCCAATAAAGCGAAACCTACCTGGCACGTAGGAGGTACGTACAGGTGGAGAAGATCCCTTCAACCTGGTGCACCCAATGTCAACAATAATAATCAACCTTGGCAACTCGACCCTCACATCTCTCGTGATAAGCAAGGAAATACAAAAACTGACGTCAACATCCAACATCACGGAGATAATCACGATTTTGAGGGAGGTTGGTCTAAAGTTGTTAGAGGCCCCAATAAAGCGAAACCCACATGGCACGTAGGAGGTACGTACAGGTGGAGAAGATCCCTTCAACCTGGTGCACCCAATGTCAACAATAAGGATCAACCTTGGCAACTCGATCCTCATATCTCCCGTGACAAGCAAGGAAATACCAGAACTGACATCAACATCCAACGTCACGGTGACAATCATGACTTTGAGGGAGGTTGGTCTAAAGTTGTTAGAGGTCCCAATAAAGCGAAACCTACCTGGCACGTAGGAGGTACATACAGATGGAGAAGATCGGTTGAAGATGATACTCCAAATGCAAATAGAGACGACGTTGATGAGACCTTTTGGGAATTGGATCCTTATACTGAATATGACGACAGTAAAACCGCCTTAAGAATCAGAAGATCTGCCGAGGAAGACGAATCTAGTGAAGAAGAAGATAAACCATGGCAGTTGGAGCCTAATTTGGGACGTGGCGATGATGGTAATACTCGAGCTGATATAAATCTTAAACGTCACGGAGAGGACCATGATTTTGAAGCAAATTGGTCGAAAGTTGTTGAAGGACCTAATAGAGCTAAGCCTACTTGGCATGTAGGAGGAACTTTCAGATGGTAATGAAAGAGACTGGAAATTAAAATTATTTAATTTATTTATTTATTGTTATGCTGATGCTGAATATATTAATCATTAATACAATTTTATGATCGGCAATATGTTTTTTTTAAATTTGTTTAATAGACATGATTTAAACATCGAAGTTGAATGGAAATATAAACACTGTTTAAGGGTAAAATATATCTAACTGAAAGTTATAGAAAATTCTAGTCATTTAATTTTGTGCTATTATTCTAAATTAACTAAATGAATGAAACTATAACTATAGAACTATAAAAAATTGTTGTTGCACACCATACTAAACACTGAACACTACCATAATTAATACTTGATTTGCCGAAATGCAGATTTTAAAAATAATTTGACTTATACAGGGTGAATCGTTTTCAGAGGGCTGACCAGTTTTATTTTTTTAAATAGAACACCCTGTATTTGAGTGGATATTTATATTTTACATGGAATTATGCAACTTTTTCGAAATTGGTACTATGTCTTAAAAATCAGCCGTTTCCGAGATATTAATATTTTAATATAAAAACTGACATTTTCGGCGATACACTTGACCGTTGCTGATATACTGTTTTTTTTTTTGAGATACATTCTAAGAAATCGTCACACATATTGTACTAGGTTCACCGTAAATTCTGAAATGCTCACTGTTTATAAATGTCATATAGGGTGTTCATAGAATCGTAAAAAATGTTATCTTTTTCAAAGGCAAAAATTTTGTTTTTTTTTCAAATGGAAGACCCTGTATTTTGTAACGGGATGTGAAAGACCTTCCCAAAATCTACAACTTTCATAATAGATCTTATATATCAGTTTCGCATATTTTACGATATTTTTCGCAATCTTTTGCAAGCTATAGCGTTGCATTTAAAATTTTTGAGAAACATCCATAAAACAGCATTCTTTTGAAATAACGCCATCTATATACACTTCCATATTAAGTTAGATGACATTAAGCATTCATCACGAGATAAATCATGATGAACGAATCATTAAAAAACGCATTTTTCTGATCAGACATTAGGGGCTTCCCCCACCCTTTCTGTCGAGAAAACAAAAGTTATGCGCAATGAATCCGGCTATCCATATTTGTACTATTTAATTATACTTGAATAGGAAACATTCCTGAGAAAAATTCAACTCTATGTTTTGGTATGTAGATTGCGCCCCCTAGCAGTCTAGCTACGAAATTGAAAACTATTTCCAGCGATTTCTCTCGATTGATTTATTAATCAAATTTTTTTTCCCCGAAGTTCTAGGGCCTATGCTTTCCCTAATATTGTACCTCGCTGACCTTAGTGGGACACCCTCTATATAAAAATTCGTATTTAACAAAATTGTACCTCATTAATAGTTTTATTTTTTAGACATAAAGTAACTGAAGTTTATCCGTTTATTAATTAAATATTAATTAAATCTATTTCTGTGCCAAAGGGATTCGTCAAGAATTGTTTTTAAGAAATGATTTTTACCGAAACTAAAATGTTTCACTGAAAAAGCAAAGTTATTTCGATTTTTTTTTAAGTAAATATGAAAATTTGTATTTATTTTACGGAATCATTCGATAGTCATATTTTTAATATAATATAATTCATATCTTTATTTTTTAAAAGAATTACGGTTTCTTTTAATTTTCTTATGAATGAATATTATAATTATTGATTTTTCAAAACTTTTTATCGAAACATCGAATTTTAATATGGATCTTCCAAACTTTTCCTCAAATTTATAATTCTTCAAATTCCCGCTTTTTTGTGTAATTTGTGGGCGCATGTAGATGATGTGACCCTTTTGACACAAGGGTTTACTTTATTACTTTTGATATATTTATACAGGTAGAAAAATATTCTAATATACAGTGTTTCTAGAATATTTGAGGAAAATAAAACAGTGAGTATAACTTTGACATTGGATCGAGACTGACGTGCTTTCTTGGGGCGTGAATAGCCTTTGCCAGTCCATTGAGATAATGGAACTTTTGTCTCAATGTCGTAGCCATAAATCCAGCTTTCATCTCGCGTTATAATCTTTTGAATTAATGTTTAATCGTCATTGGATTGTTCAAGGAGTTGCCGACAAATGTACACACGATTTTCTTTATGTTGTTCGATCATCAAACGAGGATCAAATTTTGTTGCAAATCGATGCATGTTCAATTTTTCAAACAAAATTTCATGGTATGACCCAATTGAGATGTTAACCTCTTCTGCAACTTCTCTGACAGCCAATCGGCGATTTGCGTGCACCAGATCTTTGATTTTCTGATCGTGGGCATCATTAGTTGAAGTCGAAAGCTTTCCAAGTCGAGGATCATCTTCAATAGACTGGCAAACACTTTTAAATCGTGAAAACCATTCGTAACATTGCGTACGACCCAGAGCATCATCTCCGTAAGCTTGTTTCAAAAGTTGACATGTTTCCGTTGCCTAGTTTCACGCAAAATTTTACGTTATATCGTTGTTCCAGAAAGTAACACATTTCAAAAATCGTCACAATATGGCAAAAACTAAATGAGATTTCAACTATGCAAGAGCATGTGGTTACAAAGGAGGTTATGCGCAATGCAATGCTACCAACCGTATATCAATCTCCATTAGCGCATAATTTAAAAAGGTCGATTATTTTCTGAACACACCTCGTATGCATCTCTTTACTATATACTTATAATGTGTACCTAAAAATATTATATAAGTTGCAACTTCACTATTTTGAATAATAACTTGGATAACTTGATTTTATTTTAAATGAATTTTATCTGTTGACTGTCAGGTGCAATATCCTTTACATTTTGTGAAGAGCCACCATAGTCGGTTTTGGGTTTTTAGGGCGTATGACTTCATTTAATCAATTCGCTTAATATATAAGAAGGGCGTATATATTCATAAACATCAACACTCTATTCTAACGCATTTTACTCAGGCGTATGAACCAATTTTCCAAAGCGTATCCTCATACGCCCTTCTAATACTTCTCTTTTTCTTTTACGCCTGCTAGACAGTATTGGCTTATACGCCCTCAGCTGATTTGCTAAATTTCACATAACATAACCTTAAATTTGGTTAAACTTGTGAATGTTCATAGATAAATTTTGTATTGTTTTTGGTGTTTTGTAAGTGCCCTAAAAACCCGATCAATGTTACAACATCGCTAACTTCCTACAAATAAATTAAAGTATAACAATTTATTATCTATGTGTTAAGGCAAAGATGCAGTCATTCCTCCAGAATATAAATATTTTTATGTTTCCTAGCCAGTAATAAATAGTTCCTAAAATTTTGATGATGAAGAAATCGATGACGAGACGTGTCTACAAGTACGAGAACGACTTATAAAGAGGAAAAGGCACCGAAATTAATTGTAACAAATTTTACAATTGCTGTATTAATAAAGCATATTTTTGTATACTATACGACTATTATTTAAATAAATTTAATACACATTCCTCGAATATCCTAATATCAGAAGGGCGCATGAGCCGGAAATCAGTATTGGCATTTTGCTAGATGTAAAATCTCCCCCATGAACTATGGTCATATTATATTGGCAAAATCAACAAATTCATTCTAAATCTTGATTTTCAAAACGTTTTTTTCATTTCCTTTCAATTTCAGATTTGGTTCGTACGCTACGCGATTCTGATATGACGCCCTCGATATGTTAGTGTTTAACGCCAACAACGGTTTAATAGTAGTAATTCGCAATTTTCTATACTTATTATTTCCATATTAAGAAATGGGTGCTGCATGAAATTGATGTATAATAAATAATGCTCGAACATTATTTAACAAAAAAACTATCATATTAAAACCATTACTAAACTTGCAGATAAATTTCTTATCGAGTCAATTAAATATTATATTTACTTATAATTACGATACGGCCGTAGTATATAGACCTTGACAATTATTTATTTCATTGTTGTTTGAAACAAACTGGCAGTTTGTATACCTATTATTAAGTAACGTCGTAATAATGAACTAGTTAGTTTACTTTTTGTTTAATTTATTTTTTGTTATAAAAGAGAAAACTCTGTTATTTATTTCTTTATTTTAAACGGTGAAGGGTGATCATTTATGAACAAAATAACGTTGCCTATTGCTTATTGCCAGTTGCTAGTTGTTGCTGGTTGCTTATTGTCTCAGTGTGAGAGTTAGTTTAGTTGTGTACGCTGTTGCATCACTCATTAGCAAACGTTATTGCTAAAATGCTTGGATGTGATAATAGTTTTGAAGTCTGTCGTATCAACTGACAATTTTATCAGATTACATGCGTCAGGTTGGCGTGTTTATTAAAGAGACTGGCTTAGTTACGAAAAGTTGCAAACGGGATTTCTTTTAATCCAGACAGAAATCAATATATTTTAAGCATGCAAATAATCATTGTCATGATCTTAATATGCAACTCATATAATATCATTCCGAAAATTATTTTTTCTGAAATCGTTCGGAAATGTGAACATTTGCGCCCCAATTTAAGTCTCCAAAATACCTTATTTTAGTATTTTAGTTCGTTGCTAAGCAACCTTCATCAAACAGTATTGGAAAGTTACTTTTTCGGCCTACCCCGTACTGTTTTTTTATTTATATTTTATATAGTAAATGCATTATTTAGTAAATATTCATAATTCATTGGACGTATTCCACATATTAAACTTTTATTATAACTATTTATTTATATTTATAGTTATGTTGCTCTTCGTACAACTATTAAACATTAGCTGAACTATACTTGAAAAGTCGACGACATTATTGCTGTTATTATTTCCTCCTGCATTTGGCGAATTTAATAATTTTGCGACAATTTGGGGCATTTTATCAAACTGATGTATTTTTACTACTTGTCTGCAACCTTTCCCATTTGAATATTTAAAGAAAAAGCAGCAACTTTCAAAATTTTGTGGACGGTACATAACATATTTTTTTACAATGGCATATAAGTTTAGTTTATCATAAATGATCTCGTTTTTTTTCGTTTTATTATCCTCTATTTTAATCTAAACCTTCAGTTCATCACGGTGACATGCACCGGCAACACTAAATATTAAAGCAACCTAAAAAGAAAAAAAACATATAGACATTTTAAAATTGTC